TCCACATGCCATCGACTATGTTCGCCCCAGGAGGAGGAACCTCGTCGACGTAGGTGCCTGTGGACTCCTAGGAAGCCATCTCTGCGTCCATGGCTGTCTGCCACTAAGAGGAGTACTCACCCACGATCACCTCAGCGTAAGAGCGCGGGGTAGGGATGTCAAGTGCATCCGAGTCTCCCTCAGGGCAAAGCAGCATGGATGCCAAACGAGGTAAATACAGTAGGCCGCAAGACACTCAAGCTCAAACTGCCTGTCCTCAAGGGCAGGCTCACCTCCGACGGACGGAGGACAGACAGACTCAAACTCAGTAGCAAGACTCCCGATGTAGTCGAGACGACTCCTAGCTGCAAATTCGACTAGCTCAATGACTAGAGAAAACGCAGCAGTAGACTCAAAGTCAGGGTCAGTGACGACAGTAGCGAGGAGAAGAGTGACAGTAGGACTGGCATCACGAGCAAGGTCGGACTTAGGGTCAGGAACGTGCGGAAGAGAGGACGCGGGAACCTCAGGCAGGACAACACGCTGTGGAACAGAGGAAGGACGAAGTGCCATACCGTGAGTGCCTGGGTTAGCAGGAGGACGAGGACGGGTGACACGACGAGCACGAACAGGTGTGGAAGCACGAGTCTCAGGCTCACGACGCTCAGTCAGGGACTCAGTCACCTCAGTATTACGAGCAGGAGCAGGCAACGGGGAGCTAGGTAGTAGCTGTGGCTGAGACTGGTCTGTCGGTGGACACAGGAGAGGTGGAGTGAGGCCAGTGGAAGATGGGAGACTAAGAACCTGGCGAAGGACTGAGTCAGGCGGCGGCAGGGACAACTGCGGCTGCGGGTAGGAAAACGGTCGGCGCGGGGCAGTACCAGCAGCTCAGCACCAGCAGCACCAGCAGCTCCAGTAGCACCTCCAGCACCAGCAGCACCACGAGCTCCGGCAGCGCCAGCACCTCTAGCACCAGCAATACCTCCAGCACCTCTAGTGCTAGCAGCTGTAGTAGCACCTCCAGCACCTCTAGCACCAGCAGCACCACATGCTCCGGCAGCTCCAGCACCTCTAGTACGAGCACCTCCAGGACCAGCAGCTCCAGCACCTCCAGTACCTCCAGCTCAAGCGCCTCCAGCACCAGCAGCACCACCTGCTCCGGCAGCTCCAGCACCTCTAGTACAAGCACCTCCAGGACCAGCAGCTCCAGCACCTCCAGTACCTCCAGCTCCAACGCCTCCAGTACTAGTAGCACCTCTAGCACCTCTAGCACCAGCAGCACCAGCACCTCTAGCACCAGCAGCACCACCAGCTCCGGCAGCTCCAGTACCTCCAGTACCAGCACCTCCAGGACCAGCAGCTCCAGCACCTCCAATACCTCCAACTCCAGCGCCTCCAGCACCAGCAGTACCTCCAGCACCACCAGCACCACCAGCACCAGCACCTCCAGTGCCAGCTAGACCTCCAGCACCTCCAGCACCAGCTGGACCTCCAGGATTAGCAGCTCCAGCACCTCCAGCACTAGTAGCACCTCCAGGACTAGTAGCTCCGGCACCTCCAGCACCAGCAGCACCTCCAGGTCCTCCAAGACTAGCAGCTCCAGCACCTCCAGCACCAGCAGCACCTCTAGTACCTCCAGCACCAGCAGCACCTCCAGCACCTCCAGCAGTACCTCCAGCACCAGCAGCACCTCCAGCACCTCCAGCAGTACCTCCAGCACCAGCAGTACCTCCAGGACTAGCAGCTCCAACACCAGCATGACCGTACCCTCCACCACCAGGACTGCCTCGCCGAACGATCCACGCACGAATCTGCTGCGGCGAGAGCGTCTCGAGTAGACCAGGCTGCTGTGGCTGTCCAGCACCAGGACCTCCAGCTGGGTCACCCACAACTCCACCGCCACTAGGACACGCAGCACCCCCAGAGTCAGCACCCCCAGTTGCAGCACCCCCAGAACCCTCACCCCCAGGCTCAGAACCAGCATTCTCAGCTCCAGAGTCCACAGCAGTAGGCTGCGGAGGCGGCGAAGACGGCCAAGGCGGAAAACCAGGGGGGGTCTCCAAGCTTGGAGAGCGGCGAGTGGCCGCTGTGCCGTCAGCGGCGGGGTCACCCCCCTTAGCTGGGCCGGAGGAGTTAGAAGAGATCTCCAAAGGCTCAACCAAGGGGGGTGGGTCTACCTGAGACACACCTGAGGGAGCAGGACCCTGTTGGGGGAGGGGGTCTACCGGGGGGGGAACTGGTACCAGGAAGAGAGGCGCTAGGGGGATCGGGTGGGACGCGTGTGGGTGTAGCCTGTAGAAACAGACAGACTCGTCAAAGGTGATGTCCTGGGAGGAGAAGACTCGACGCACGCGCGGGTGGTAGAACTACTAGGGCGGGGCGTCGGTGGGAAAGCCAAGGAAGACGCAGCGGAGAGTGCGAGAGGAGAGCTTGCTCGCTTAGGCATCGCGAACAAGGGAGAGCGCGCCCCAGACCCGAAACACCGACGCATCGCCAACCTTCCCCGTCCACCGGAGTGTGGGCGAGGTCTCTTGCTCAGAGACACGGGGCCAGAGGTTGAGCTGATGCGCAGCGCATCGGACCACAAACGGCCACAGAAAATGGGGAGCAGCCGCATGGATCATGGAGGTACGAGCAACCTCCATAATCAAGCCAATGCGACGCTCAGCGCAATGCACGGGTTGCAGGGCAACTGGGCGCGGGCTGCAGGGCAGGGCGGCGCGCGCTGGGCAGGGCAGCAGGGCATGACTTGCAGGCAGCAGCAGGGCGCGACGTGCGGGGGCAGGCACTGCGAGTAGCTGCAGGGCAGCGCGACAATGTGCGAGCAAGGCCGGACAGCGCAAGGACGTTTCGGGCAGGAACTAGCAAAACTATCGGTGGGCCCTAAAAATATGACAAGTTTCCTGCTCTGAATAGCATGCCAGAATCAACTATGCAGGAATGATTGGATTAGCAAGAGTTGGGGTACAAGTACTAACCCTAGAAGTGCTGTACCCCATAAGGAGTGCCCCATTATAGCCTACAAATAAGATTGTACTTTGACAAAATGCATCGTTAATGCAACTGCGATTGATCTGGTATGGAAGAGGCAACCAAAGCTGCCCCACCAATGATAACAACCGCAATTGTATACACAAGGCACTCGGCACTCACCCCGAAACAGACACAAACAACACTACATAGCCTACATGTACGCTCACACTCATACAGGCTCACACATACGTAGAGAGAATAACACGCAGAAACATACAGCTAATACTAAGCATGCAAGCATAGCCAATGAAGTTCACCAATTAATAAACCATCGCTACCTTGCCCCCCATTCCCCTCCCTCCCCCACTCCCTGATCTCCCTTACCCCCCCCCCAGCATACAGCAAATGCAGCTCTCACTCCCTGCACATACCGTAGTGACAGACAAGCAAACAGACACAGATACATACAGATACAGCAATAAACACGCAACCATCACGAATGAAATTCAGAAGTGCATAAATCACCGCTAGCCTATCCCCCTTTACCCTCCCTACACCCCTCCGTCCCTCCTTCCCTCATCTCCATCTCACTCCCTCCCTCATCTCCCTTCTCAGCTCACGTGCCCTGCACAAAGCGAAAACAGAGAAGTTCACACACACCCGCCCTGCACACAGCAAAAACAGAGAAGCTAACACACACACGCCCTGCACACAGCAAAAACAGAGAAGCTAACACCTTAGAAGCCGACACCCTAAGTACTAGTGCAGAAAGCGACACTAGTTTGCATAAGTAGTCCCAGCTGCCCAAGCACCAGCAGAATAGATGCTAGTGCATCTGCCCCAGCGTGCTCATGAAGCTCTCTCGTGCGCTCTCACGCACTCTCTCACGGACTCTCTCACGCACTCTCAAGCACTCTCTCACGCGCTCTCACACTCTCACGCAAACTCTCACGCGCTCTCTCACCCACTCTTTCAGGGCTCTCTCACGTGCTCTCACACGCTCTCACGCTCTCCCTCACGCGCTCTCACACTTTCTCTCACGCGCTCTCTCACGCGCTCTCACACCCTCTCTCACGCCCTCTCTCACGTACGCTTTCACGCGTCTCTCACGCGCTCTCTCCACGCTCTCTCACGCGCTCTCTCACGCGCACTCTCACGCGCTCTCTCACGCATTCTCTAACGCGCTCTCTCACGCGTTCTCTCACGCGCTCTCTCACGCGCTCTCTCACGTGCGCTCTCATGCACGCTTTCACGCACTCTCTCATGCGCTCTCTCACGCGCTCTCTCATGTGCTCTCTCATGCGCTCTCTCACGCGCTCTCTCACGCCCTCTCTCACGCCCTCTCTCACGTGCTCCCTCACGCGCGCTTTCACGCATCTCTCACGCGCTCTCTCACGCGCTCTCTCACGCGCTCTCTCCACGCTCTTTCACGCGCTCTCTCACGCGCACTCTCACGCGCTCTCTCATGTGCTCTCTCACGCATTCTCTAACGCGCTCTCTCACGCGTTCTCTCACGCGGTCTCTCACGCGCTCTCTCACGCGCTCTCTCACGTGCGCTTTCACGCACGCTTTCACGCGTCTCTCATGCACTCTCTCATGCGCTCTCTCACGCGCTCTCTCATGTGCTCTCTCACGCGCTCTCTCACACGCTCTCTCACGCGCTCTCTCACGCGCCCTCTCATGCTCTCTCTCATGCTCTCTCTCACGCGCTCCCTCTCGCGCTCTCTCACGCGCTCCCTCTCGCGCTCTCTCTCGCGGACTCTCATGCGCTCTCACGCGCTCTCTCACGCGCTCTCTCACGCTCTCTCTCACGCTCTCTCTCACGCGCTTTCTCACGCGCTTTCTCACGCGCTCTCTCACGCCCTCTCTCACGTGCGCTCTCGCGCGCGCTTTTACGCGTCTCTCACGCGCTCTCTCACGCGTCTCTCATGCGCTCTCTCACGCGCTCTCTCACGCGCTCTCTCACGCGCTCCCTCACGCGCTCTCTCGCGCGCTCCCTCACGTGCTCTCTCACGCGCTCCCTCACACGCTCTCTCACGCGCACTTTCATGCACTCTCTCACGCGTCTCACTCACTCTCTCACGCGCCCTCTCTCACGCGCCCTCTCTCACGCGTCTGACGCGCTCTCTCACGCGCTCTCTCATGCGCTCTCGTGCGCTCTCTCATGTGCTCTCTCACACGCTCTCTCACGCGCTCTCTCACGCGCTCTCTCACGCGCTCTCACGCGCTCTCTCATGCTCTCTCTCATGCTCTCTCTCACGCGCTCCCTCTCGCGCTCTCTCACGCGCTCCCTCTCGCACTCTCTCACGCGGACTCTCATGCGCTCTCTCACGCTATCTCTCACGCTCTCTCTCACGCGCTCTCTCACGCGCTCTCTCACGCCCTCTCTCACGCCCTCTCTCACGTGCGCTCTCGCTCGCGCTTTCACGCGTCTCTCATGCGCTCTCTCACACGTCTCTCACGCGCTCTCTCACGCGCTCTCTCACGTGTCTCACTCGCTCTCTCACGCGCCCTCTCATGCGCCCTCTCTCACGCGTCTGACGCGCTCTCTCACGCGCTCTCTCATGCGCTCTCCCACGTGCTCCCTCACATGCTCTCTCTCACGCACTCACTCAAGCGCACTCTCACTCGCACTCTCGCGCGCACTCTCACGTGCACTCTCACTCGCACTCTCACGCGCTCTCTCACGTGCACTCTCACTCGCACTCTCACGCGCTCTCTCACGCGCACTCTCACGAGCTCTCTCACGCGCACGCGCTCTCTTACGCGCATGCGCTCTCTCACGCGCTCTATCACGCGCACTCTCACGAGCACTCTCACGCGCACGCGCTCTCTCACGCGCTCCCTCATGCGCTATCTTACGCGCTCTCTCACGCTCTCACTCATGCGCTCTCTCACACGCTCCCTCACGTGCTCTCTCATGCGCTCTCGTGCGCTCTCTCACGCGCACTCTCACGCGCGCTTTCCTGCGTGTTCACTCCCGTGTACATGCTCTCCCTCGCGCTCCGTCTCTCCCCTTCTTCAAATGAAAGTGCAATGCAAGAGGAGACCAATCTACACAAAAACTTTACGAAGAGAGCAAAGAAAACAAAAAAGAGGGGAGGGAGGGGGGGAGGGAGGATGAAAGGACCGGGAACGCACCTGATAATCATGGTGTTTCAGAAAACAGCCCGCGCTGGCGCACCAACCCGCGCTCGCGCACCAACACTCGCGCTTGCGCTCGTGCACCTGCCGCCAGAGGCGACGGCGGGGAGGAGGGAGAGGCGACGGCGGGGAGGGGAAAAGAGGCGACGACGGGGAGGAAAGGAGGCGACGGCGCGGAGGAGGGAGAGGCGACGGCGGGGAGGAGGGAGAGGCGACGGCGGGGAGGAGGGAGAGACGACGGCGGGGAGGAGGGAGAGGAGTGAGAGACGATGACGGGCCGAGAGGTGGCGGCGGGATGGGAGGGAATTGCGACGGCAGGGTAGGAGGGAGGGGCGACTACGGGATAAGAGGGAGAGGCGACGACTGGGTGTTAGTAAGGTCACGGTTCCAGACTTGTCCGCCCGCCATGCGGCCCAAAATGTCCCTCAGTGACGTGTAAACACACCCGATCATTGGTCACCACACAAGTTTCCATAAATGTTGGAGCAAGGAAGCCAATCAAACGTGCACTTTCGTCTACACTTGTCCAGACTTTTATGGCGGGCGAACTTCAGAACCGTCATCTAAAATGCGATAGCTGGATGATAGCTAGACAGCAGGATGGGCGATGGGGGAAAATGGCAGAGAGAGCAGGTACAGGAGTTCGAATTGACAGCTGGGAAGGGAAACCAAACGTAGCGCTCAGTAGCAAAGCGACGGGCAGAGGGAGCAGAGTAGAGCAGGTGCTCAAATTCAAGAAACCAAGTCAGCGGAGAATTTGAGTTGACAGCGGGAGAACGGAAGGATCTGTGGCGCTGGCAAAAAAATGAGTGGTTGGGAATGTGTGGCGCTGGCAATATTTTTTTCTGCCAGAGCAAAACGAGGCAAGAAATGGGTTTTAAAATAAGCGTACAGGGTTATGATGATGCGGCGAATTGCCAGCTAAATTCACGGGCACGTGACAAAAACAAAACGCACACTAGATTTGGAACTGTATCACGCGACAACACGCGCGCGACCACGCCACCCGCAAACATCAAAGTTACCTGCAAATTAACAAACTCACTAAAATAACTATGATATTGCAAATAATAATATTTAGGTCAAAACACACATCTTTTTTAAACAACAAATATAATATCAATCTATAAATCATTCCCCATTAACTAGCGCTCAATCGCAAGAGAAAATAATGTTTTTTATTGAGGAACTAGGAATCCCGTTATAAATAGGAACATATTTGTTGCTTCATATAGTATAGTGCATTTTTCTGATACCTTTCTACTAACATAAATAACGCCTACGCAACCCTTCCGATCTTAACGTCGAGTCTTGTTTCAACACTGCATTTTTCGCCTCCCGCTTGTACCGCACCGCACGATTAGTTAGGTCTCTCAGAATCGAGTAGCGAGACGCTGTCTCAAACCCCATTCAGCTGCACGACAGCATGCCTGCTCGCGGGTTTCTCCGTCTCCTGCTCCTCGTTCTCCGTAAGCCAATGCTGCCATGACTCGCCTCGAAATTCGTCTTTCCAGGAGAATAAAAAGTTGTCCGTTACTCCTCGTTCTTCGTAAGCCAATGCTGCCATGACTTGCCTGCCTGATAGGCCCATTCTTGAATTGCAGGCATACGAATCGCTCCCCCCCTCAGAATCGGAGGAATTTCCAGCATCTGCTTTCCCTGCATTTTTCTAGTTCAGTATATCCGTTTCTTCTTCGGAGCCGGTCCTCGCGTCTGGTTGCCACCTTTCGCTCCGCTCGTCTCTCCTACCTTCCTCTCTGCTTAAATCCTCGCAGAAAGTTCCCATCCTGATCGCGTATTGTCTCTAACCTCTCACTCTCCTCCCCTCTCTCTCCCTCCTCCTGTCTCCCCGCTCCCCCCCTTTCCCCTGCTACAGCACTCCGGCCAGCATAACCCTGACCTTTCCTTGATGATATTTGAGTCGACTTTTGAGGCGCCTCAAAAGTCCTCCGGCCAGCATAACCCTGACCTTTCCTGACGATGTTTAAGTCGACTAAGTTCTCCTGCCAGCATAACCCTGATGTCTGCTTGATTCCCCTCTTTTTCACCCTCCTCCCCTCCTTCGCCTATTTTTCACCCTCCTCTCCTCCTTCCCTCTCTTTCCCCGCCTCCCCTTTCAGTCATCCTGCCAGCATAAACCTGACCTCTGCTTGTTTCCCTTAACATCTCGCCGCTCCTCCTTCCATTCCCGTCCCATTTCTCCTTTCGCTCGTCCCCCCTTCTCCACCCCCCACCCTCTTCCCACCTCCCCTTACAGGTATCCGATTAGCTCGGACTCAGGTGAATTCGTAGAATTGAGGTGACTTTTGAGTCGACACAAAATCACTTCTCCACCCCCCACCCTCTTCTCACCTCCCCTTACATGTCTCCTACTAGCTCGGGACTCGGTTGAATCTGTAAAATTTCCAAATGCTTTGTTGAGACGTCTCAAAAACCCTTTCCCCCCCCCCCCCCCCCCACCTCCCCTTACATGTCTCTTTCCCTCCCCACCTCCCCTTACAGGTCTCTTTCCCCCCCCACCTCCCCTTTCAGGTCTTTTTCCCCCCTCCCCACTTGCCAGCACTGACTCAGTTGGGTTTCTAGGATTTCCCGACGCATTTTCAAGACGTCTCAGAAAAACATCTTCCCTCCACAACCTCATACCCCCCCCCCACCCCCCACTCCCCCCGCACCCTTGCTTACATTTCTCCTACTGGCACAGACTCAGATAGAATCTATAAAACTTCAAGTGCCAAGATTTTATCAGTCGACTACAAAATTTAGGTGCTTCCCCTTCCCCTTTTCCTCTGCCATTCCCTGTGATCCCCTCTTTTCCCCACTCCCCTCAATCCCTATCCCCCCTTCCCCTCTCTTCATCCCTACCCTTCCCTCACACCCCCCCCCCCCCCCCCTCCTTTCCCCCGTTTCTTGCAGTTCTCCTGCCAACACAAGCCCAAGAAGGACCCTCTCCTCTCCTCAGGCCCAACTCCCAGCCCCCTTTACCCCACTCTCACCCCTCCTCCCCTTTTCCGCACCCCCCTCCCTCCATCCGTCTGTCTTTCCTCACCACACCCCGTCTCTGTCAGTGCTCCTGCCAGCGCAAGCCCAGGACAACTCTCTTCTCGGCACCACACCCATCCCGCTCTGCCCCATTCTCACTCCTTTTCCCCATCCCCCCTTCTCCCCCATTCACCGTCTCTTTCAGTGCTCCTGCCAGCGCAAGCCCAAGACGAGTCTCTCCTTGGCACAAACTCTCAGCAGCAGCCGCTTACCCAATCGCAACTGCTGCAGCAGCGGGAGCAGGAGATTTTTGGGGCAGCGGGAGCAGGGAATGGTGCAGAGGCAGGTGCTTCAGGACCAGGGGAAATTACCCTGGAAAATGACGAGATGCTGCTGGGAAGGGTTTCGGAGATGGAAAGGGAGCTGAGGAAGCAGCTGGCAGAGCAGGAGCGAGCAGGAGGGCAGTTAACAGGGTTACCACTGTCTACAGGGGTACTAGTAGAGTCTACAGAGTTACCAAAGTCAACAGGGTTACAAGAGTCACCAGAATTATCAGCAGGGTTACCACAGGCTTCATCAGGGTTACAGCAATCATTGGAATCATTAGCAACAGGAGGAGCCAGTGAATCCAGGGAGGAACCTGGACTGATCCAAGGAATTAACAGTGGGCCATCTGCCACGTCATCTGACAGCTCAGCAGCTGCCACGTCATCTGACAGCTCAGCAGCTGCCACGTCATCTGGCAACACAGCAGCTGCCACGTCAACTGCCAGCTCAGCCAGTGGAAGTGCGGCAGTGTCGGAAATACAATCGTTGGAGCAGGAGGCGAAGCAGCTGGCCGCTGATGTGGCACAGAGCAGGGTGGACAGACAAGTGTGAGTACAGCAAGAGGGGTTATGTGTTGTTAGATGAGAGGTTGGTGGAGGTTGGTAGGAGGAAGAACAAAGTGGAGATTGGGAAGAGAATGTTCTCTTGTTTGTTCAAGGGTGGGTGGACAAACAAGTGTGCGAGAGGTAAATTCTAGGTTTAGCCTTCAGGGTTTCATTCACACCCGTTTTGTCTCACCCAACCATAGCGCGTATTGAGGCGCCTCAAAGGTTTCACACCCGTTTTGTCTCACCCAACCATAGCGTGTATTGTCTCCCTTGACTCTGATTGCCGTCTTGTGTCTCTTCAGGTGTTCAGCACCTGTTGGAACATTCATATGCATGGCGTGTGTGTGTGCGCGTGTGCGCACGCGCGTGTGTGCGCGTGTGCGGCCCTGTCCCATAAGCTAACACATGTCCCCATTCGCCTGCAGCACGTGTGACAGAGGTCGGCCTGAGGGGACAACCACCTGCACCTGTAGCCACTGCCCCTTGCATGTGGCGTGCGTTTGTGTGCACTCATTCCTTATCTATGCTCCTTGCCTCCCTGTCCTCTTATGTCTTTTGAGGCGCCTCAAAAGTGACAGAGGTCGGCCTGAGGGGTCAACCACCTGTGCCTGTAGCCACTGCCCCTTGCATGTGGCGTGTGCGTGCACACACTCCTTAGCTACGCTCTGTGCCTCCCTGCTGTGTGCTTCCCATTGTGTCTTACAGGGCCCAGCAGCGTGCACAGCAGCTGCTGCAGCGACGCACAGATGCAGAGGAGCGGCTGAGGGGGCATTTTTCCGCACCTGTAGCTGCTGCCCCTTGTGTGTGCTCCCATGCTTTGGCTGGGTGCTGTGCTCTGTGCCTCCCTGTCCGCTGTGCCCCCCATGTGCCTTACAGAGCCCAGCAGCGCGCACAGCAGCCGATGCAGCGACGCACAGAGGTGGAAAATCCCAGCCAGGCTGCAGGGGCAATTGGGTGCAGGGGCAATTGGGTGCCGGGGCAATTGGGTTCCGGGGCAATTGGGTGCCGGGGCAATTGGCTGCCGGGGCAATTGGCTGCTCCTGTAGCTGCTGCTGCCTCTTGTGTATGCACTGCACTACACTCATTCTCTATCCGCGATTCCATGCCTTGTTTGTACCTCCCTGCCCCTCCATGTGCCCTGCAGTGCCCAGCAGCGCGCACAGCAGCTGCTGCAGCGACTCACAGAGGCAGAGGCGCGGCTGAGGGGGCAATCAGCCGCACCTGTAGCTGCTTCCAGCACCGACAGCATTAGCAGCAGCGGCAGCAGCACCACCACCACCACCCCTAGCAGCAGCACCGGCACCAGTGGCACCAGTGGCAGCAGCAGCAGCAGCAGCAGCAGCAGCAGCAGCAGCACCAGCACCACCACCAGCAGCACCAGCAGCAGCTCTCTTGAATCCCTAGGCCTAGACTCCATGGGTTCCCTTCAACAGGAGTCCCTCTCCTCTCCAGCCTCCCTTCCCTCCCCTCTCTCTCGCTCCTCCATGTCAGAGCTTCACCTCAATATCGGTGCCCTCTATTCCCCCCATCTAGACTCCCTCAACTGCTCCAACGCCCCCACCTGCCCGGATTTCTCGGGCAGGTGCTCGGTCAACCCGGAAATTTCTGCGTGTTTCAACCCCGGGCTGGAGGATGACGGGAAGCAGTGGCTCCGGGCGCCGGAAAACTGCCCGAAGGTGAAGAATGTTGTGGAGAGCGGTGCGGAGGGGTTCGATGCAAGATGCAGCCATGAATCTGACTTTGCATGGCACAAGTGGATGGTGTTTCAGACGTTCCTGCTGCGGGGAGTCTATGTGAGCGCGGAGGGGCAGGTGTTCAATGCATCCACTCACTTTGCTCGCAAGGGATGCGGCCATTTCTCCGAGGTGAGTTCTGAGCCTGGGGCTGTGTTGCTGGCAGCTGGTTGGTTGTGCCGCCGGCGCTTGATTTTCTTAAAGGGCCTTCCAGAAGAAGAGCAGTAGCAGGTGGTGTTGCGAGTGGCTTTGGTTTTGCATGGCACAAGTGGATGGTTGGTGTTTCAGACGTTGCTGCTGCGAGGGGTCTATGTGAGCGCGCAGGGGCAGGTGTTCAATGAGTCGGAAAGGATGCGGCCATTTCTCCGAGGTTCGTGGTTTGTTTGATGTGAGGAGCTTCCCTTGCAGCTTTTCAGATGTGGGGTAGGTAGCAAGCGGTGGGAAGTGGTTTGGCTGCGCGTTGCACAAGTGGATGGTTTTTCAGACCTTCCTGCTGCAGGGGGGGTCTATTTGAGCGCAGAGGGGCAGGTGTTTTATGAATCCACTCACTTTGCTCGCAAGGGGTGCGGCCATGGGGTTTGCAGCTGCCACTTTGTTTGACAAAATGCCTAGAAACATGTTTCGAGCATGTCTCGAGCACCACACCATGTATCCCCTACTTCAACCGCATAGCACCACCATGTATCCCCTACTTCAACTGCATAGCACCACCATGTATCCCCTACTTCAACCGCATAGCACCGCCATGTATCCCCTACTTCAACCGCATAGCACCACCATGTATCCCCTACTTCAACCGCATAGCACCACCATGTATCCCCTACTTCAACCGCATAGCACCACCATGTATCCCCTATGCACAGGCTGATTGAAAGCTCTTACACCCCCCTCCTCCCCTTCCTCCCCCCACCAGTTCTCATTCCCCCAGGCCACGCCAGTGCGCCACATACACCGAGCGCTCTCCCTCATGCGCCTGCAAGCCCCAGACTGATAATTTGATCTCCAGAGTTCTCTTCTCTTTACCTTCCCCCTTCCCCCCAATACCTTCCCCCACCAGTTCTCATACCCCCAGGACACACCAGTGCGCCACATGCACCGAGCTCTCTCCCTCGTGTACCCCCAAGCCATGGGGTTCTATCACGGGCTGATAGAGTGGCTGCCACAGTTCCTGCTTCTCGCTCCGCTGCTGCAGAAGCTGCCAATCATAGCAGTGCTTGGCACACCTGAACAGGTACGCTTCATATGGGGGTGGAATGTGGTGGAGTGCGGTACTCGCTCTCTTCCTCGTGTACCCCCAAGCCATGGGGTTCTATCACGGGCTGATAGAGTGGCTGCCACAGTTCCTGCTTCTCGCTCCGCTGCTGCAGAAGCTGCCAAGCATAGCAGTGCTTGGCACACCTGAACAGGTATGCTTCATATGGGGGTGGAATGTGGTGGAGTGCGGTACTCGCTCTCTTCCTCGTGTACCCACAAGCCACGGGGTTCTATCACGGGCTGATAGAGTGACTGCCGCACTTCCTGCTTCTCGCCCCCTTGCTGCAGAAACTGCCAACCATAGCGGTGCTTGGCACGCCCGAGCAGGTGCGTGGTGGTGTAGCTGGTTGTGTTTGGGTGGAGTGCATTGCAGTGCAGTGCAGTGCAGTGCGGTGGAGTGCTTTCTCTCTCCGTAGTGTATATGCACGGGGTTCTATCACGGGCTGATAGAGTGGCTGCTTTACTTCCTGCTGCTCGCCCCTTGCTGCAGTAGCTGCCAAACATAGCAGCCCTGGGCACGCCTAATCAGGTTCATGAAGTTGAGTGGGTTGCATTGCGGTGCAGCGCAGTGATGTGCGGTGCTTTCTGGTTCTATCACGGGCTAATGGAGTGGCAAAAAATAGCAGTCCTGGGCACGCCCGCTCAGGTGTGTGTGAGTGTGGTGCAGTGCAGTGAAGTGCGGTACTTGGGAGTGCTGCAAACCAGAACTGCACTCCCCTGGATTGCTGTGCTGTGACGCCTCTGTGGTCCTTTTTCAAAGTTTAAAAAAATGTACAGCCACCCCCACGCCACCCACAAGCCACCCCCAAGCCACCCACAACCCACTGCCTCAGGCATCACTCCGTATTGCCCCCCTCGCTGCCGTCCTTTTTTAGTCGACTCTAAAGTCACCCCTCCACCCCCTCCGTATACCGACGCAACCTTGTCCTCCTAACGTCTCTCTCTCTCTCTCTCTCTCTCTCTCTCTTACTGGACCTTTTCCGCCTACACTTCGTCCATCCACACTCCCTCCATCCACACTCCCTCTATCCGCACTGTGTCTCCCAGTGGGCATTCTACGACCGAGTGCTCAAGCCACTGGTGGGGGTGGAGCTAGCACAGATTAACCGAGTGGACATCCAACCCAACGAGCTCATCTTCGTTGATCAGCTGTTCATGGTACGTCCGTGATCCGTCTAATCTAGTCCATCTGGTGCGTTTTTTAGTCGACTCAAACCCAAGGAGCTCATCTTCGTCGATCAACTGTTCATGGTACACCCATCTCTATTGATTTGTTTCGCATTAAGTTCTTACATTTATACATATCTGTATGTATACATAACAACTCCATCACTTGCGTCGCATCCTTGTGTATTGATTCTTCACAATTCAGCCGTCTCCCATGCGTGCCCTCTTCATTTCCCTACTCAATATAATATTCTGTATGAGAATGTGCATTTAGTGTTTTTCCTTTATCGATTACTTACTGACATGGTCTAGCTTCCGTTTACATTTATCCTGTACTATCTTCTGTCCACTTCGCATGTAGCTTCTCTACCAGTGTTGCGGCAAGCCTTCCCCAGCCATCTGGCGAGACATGAGGCTGCGAGCCCTGCTCCCTCCACAATGCATCCCCTCCATCCACAAGCATGTTCCTCTTCCCCTTGTCCCCCTTACAAGCAGCCTCTTTACCAGTGCTGCGGCAAGCCTTCCCCAGCCATCTGGCGAGACATGAGGCTGAGGGCCCTGCTCCCTCCACACGGCCTCCCCTTTTTCCACAAGCATGGCTGGCACACCCGAGGGATACAGCCAATCACGGAGAAGCAGGCGGCGGCTGTTCTGCGCTCTGATTGGCTCGTCGTTGTCGCGCGCCGCCCGGGCAGCCGAAGAGTTTTGGACAAGTTTGAGGAGCTTTTGGAGGAGGTGAAGAAAGTTTTCGGGCAGGAGAAGGTTCGGACTTTCGACGGTTCGCTGCCGATTCTTGAAGGTGAGAAACTATGATGATTGATTGGTTGTAAATTACCTCATTAAGGTGGTGTATGAGGTGAAAGTGTTTTCAGGCGTAAAAAATGTGTGATGGTGGTTTGCTGCTGATTTCTTTCGACAAGTTTCGTGAAGTAAGCCTTTCGCATTCTTGTACCCATACTATACACGCACCATCTGAAACATTTTCTTTTACTTGTTTTTTTCTCTTTTCCTTTGGAACTTCGACTTAACAGTGGGCACAGCAGGGAGAATGGCAGTTATCAAGGCAGCGAGCAGCTCCGCAACAGAGACCGCATGCTATTGCTCATTCCCTCCTCCATTCCAACCTATCCCATAACCTCTCCCCCCTTTCTCTTCCCCCTCCCCCTGCATTTCCATTCTCCTCTTCTCCCTACACAGCACAATCCCTGTTTCTACAAGCTCGCCTTTTCATAGCAGGGCACGGGGCAGCGCTAGCTAACATGGTCTTCATGCTGCTAGGTGCTACAGTGCTTGAGATTTGAACTCCCTTCCCCTGTCCTTGCACTCACCATGCCCACACAGCGCGGTCCCTCTTCCTGCAAGCGCGTCTCTTTATAGCAGGGCACGGGGCAGCGCTAGCGAACATGGTCTTCATGCCGCTCGGTGCTACAGTGCTTGAGATTCGGCCAGATCGTTACGACAACGCGTGTTACCACTTCCTTGCGAGCGCTTGTGGGTTACAATACAATCTAGTGTTGGGTCAAGGGGATCAAGACAGCGAAAATAAGGTTGATTTGGGCCAAGTTACAAATGCTTTAGTCAGCATACGCAGCGGATTTGGTGCTGTGCAATGATTGGCCTGCGCTGCATTTCACAAATCATGGCATATGCATTTCAGTGTTTGCACGATATGGTATTATGTAAATATTTAATAAAAAATGTCTTGAGTGGACACTGGAGTGGACAAGAAGCCAATGTTTATGTAAAAGTGTTAGTGGTATGACAAGCTGAGTGTGTGTTAGGCGATCACACTTAGTGAATTCTGTAACTGTTGTGAGTCGTGCCTGACTTAGGTTACAGCGAAAGCTCTGAAAACGGCTTCGTTGGTGGGTGGGGGTGTGGCGTTGGGTGGAAGGGCGGAGGGAAGCTATTTTTTACGCACAGTTTTCTGTTGAGGCCCAAAAGTTTTCGAGAATTCTTTGTCAAGAAACACCCTCGTCGCTAGGCACAAGCCACCGCCCTGGCTCGTTGAAATCAAACAAAATACACAGGAAATGCCTGAACTGTTCTAATTCTGCTACACCACTGCCACGGAAAACAAGTCCTGAATCTTGATCAACTTGGTGCTGAGAATGTCGGTGACAGCCCTGAACTATGAGACAGTTCATTTTCGGGGTAGTCTGTACGATTTAGTTCGGTTTGTCATATTCCCAAGCGGTACAGCATCTTCACACCCAGCAATGTTTGTGGATGGTTGGTTTCTGGTTCGTTCAGTTCGAACTTCTGACAGCCATCGATCACCATTGTTTGTTCGTAAGGGCTGGTGTGAAATTGTTTTAGGTTCGTGATTTAGGTCGAGCTTTAGCTGGTTACCGTTGTCGCTAATGTCGCCGACACGGTTGGTGAAATGCACATTAAATAAAAAACACACAAATGCGACCAACAAAAAGTGAACAAGGCTCAAGTCTACGCACGAATGTGAGAGTGCACGATGAGCCGAACATGTGTTATTTTGGGAACATAAGAGAAGTTGACGAATTACACGATTCGTTCGTGCACCAATGAGCGCACCACCGAAACCAGGTAAAAAAATTCGTCTCGCAGAGCTGGACGAAACCAGGTAACCTAAATAACCTACGGGCGGCTCGGATCACCCCCTATAAGTTCGAACGTGCAAATTCGAACTTGGGTGTGTGGTTGTGCTTCAACCGTTTGCGAGACGCGCGGCTCGAACTTTGCCATCAACGAAAGTCTAAATTTTGTTTCCTCATGTTCAAATGCTACATTCGATTTTTAAAAACATAAAACTATACCAAAACTAAAATCACACACGCCCTAAGCCCAGCCACATAAACAGCCAATGCAGATCGAGGAAGCTAATGACTACTCGTCGTCAATTCGCGGATTATGCTGACAGCACATATGATCGCTCCTTAGGCTATTTAGCTCTCTTATGGGTTCTGCGGGCTCGCGTTCGGCGGACAAATCGTGGAATCTACTGAGACCAAAGAGTGCGTCCGCGTTACAACCCGTCCGCGTTACTAGGCGTCCCGACACACGTGACGAGCTGTCGACGACAACCTCGTGAAAATAGGACATCTGTATAAAATCGGAAAGTCGGACCATTCTCAAACCGAAATGCAACACCCCATTGCTCTCCCATCGCAATCACTTCATCGCCTGTCATCCCTTCCTGTCTCCTCCTCCCATCCCTTCCCCTACCCGTCTCTCTCTCTCCCCCCACCGCCAGTCCCCTCCAGGCACTCCGATTCTAAACCTCATTCCAGGCCCCTTAATCGCCGTCCGTCCCTCACGATCCCCTCCTCGGACGACTCATTTCCGCCAAGACCGTCAGCAGGCGGACGCGCAGGAGGAGGAGGATACGCCGCAGGACACGGCGCAGGATACGGCGGCGCTATTCAAGGCGAAAATGGTTACCCAGGCAACAACGACGACAATGTTCGCCATGACGCGAATCTGCCCACCCCCGTGGAGTTTTCATATGAGGATCTCGTAGCGGCTACAGATGGGTTCAGTGCGGTGAACGTCCTGGGCGAGGGTGGTTACGGGAAGGTGTACCGCGGGGTGGTTCGCGAGGAGGCGCCAGATGGCAGCACGGTGGAGCGCCACGTGGCAGTGAAGCAGCTGAATGACGAGGGACGGCAGGGATTCAACGAATGGCTGGTAAGGGCTCAATCGATTGGAAAAGGTCTGATCGGCTGGTATTGTCACAACTGGTAGGGAGATTTCTGATTGGCTGGTAGGGCCTGTGGCTGGTTGGGGAGGGACAGTTGGGCATGTCTGCGGCTCTGCATCGTCAGATCAGATCAGACCGATTGAGTCTGCATCATCTGCAGCAACCCTGCACCATAAATCCACCAATCTCTGGCTCTCCCTTCCCTTGCCCCGCCTGCCCCTGCCCCTTTTCCCTCTCAAACCACTCCCACTCAGACGGAGGTGGTGTTCCTGCGGTGACTTTTGAGGCGCCTCAAAAGCCTGCCCCTGCCGCTGTTTCCCTCTCCCACTACTCCCACTCACACGGAGGTGGTGTTCCTGCGGTGCCTGCGCCATCCCCCAACTCCCCCACCTCCCCACCCCCCTTTTCCCCCCTCTTCCTTTCCCCACTGTTTCCCCGTCCCTCCCTCTTCCCATCTCATCAGACGGAGATGGTGTTTCTGCCTGCGGCACCTGGTCCATCCCCACCTGGTGCAGCTTGTGGGTTACTATGCGATGCAGAGCAGGAATTTCTCCCCACCCAACCAATTGCCCCTTCCTCTTCCCCCTCCACCTCCATCCTCTCCTAAAAACATCAGACGGAGGTGGTGTTTCTGTGCCACCCACATCTGGTGCATTGCCGTTCGTGGGGTACTGCATGGAGCAGCAGCAGGCTCTGTTGGTCTCCCCAACCCGCTTCCCCCCTCTTCCTCTCTTCCTCCCCCCTCCATTCCACCGTCTCTCTCTCCCCACTTCTTCAGACGGAGGTGGTGTTTCTGAGGCGACTGCGCCACCCCCATCTGGTGCAGTTCGTGGGGTACTGCACGGACCACCAGCAGGCCCTGCCCACCCCCACTCCGCACCCCCTCTTTCCCCATTTGTCCCCAACTTCCCCCCTCTTCGTTCATCAGACGGAGGTGGTGTTTCTGCGTCGCCTGCGCCACCCCCATCTGGTGCAGTTTGTGGGGTACTGCACGGAGCAGCAGCAGGCACTGCTCGTGTACGAGCTCATGGCCAATTCATCGCTGGACTACCACCTTTTTGACGGTGAGTTGACTTGCCTCACCACCACCTCTGTATGCGTATGGGTGGCTTGGGTACTGCACAGAGCTCATGGCCAATGCATCGCTGGACTACCACCTGTTTGGCGGTCAGTCCCTCTCAGTAGTGCATTCATTCATGTGTATGTATGTGTGTGGGTGGGTGAGTATCGTGTGCAGCGGCAGCAGGCCCTGCTGGTGTACGAGCTCATGGCCAATGCATCACTCGATGACCACCTGTTCGACAGTAAGTTGCCTTGCCTCCCTGTTCTGTTTGCATGCCTCTCCAGTGCATGTGAGGGTCTGTATGCGGGTGGGTGGGTGGGTGGGTGGGTGGGTGGGTGGAGTACTGCACGGAGCAGCAGCAGGCCCTGCTGGTGTACGAGCTCATGGCCTACGCATCGCTGGACTACCACCTGTTTGACGCTAAGTTGCCTTGCCTCTCGGGAGCTTTCATTTACCTCATGAAGCTGAGGCGCCTCAGAGGTCATTTGTTTCTCTCTGGTCAGCTTCAGAGGCGCCTCAAAATTCCTCCCTGTTCAACCAGTCACATCTCTGCTGTGCATGTGTCTGTAAGCATGTGTTTTTTGTATCTACTCCCCTCTCCCCACTCCCTATTCCCATCTCCCCACTCCCTATTCCCCTCTCCCCACTCCCTATTCCCATCTCCCCACTCCCTATTCCCCTCTCCCCACTCCCTATTCCCCTCTCCCCACTCCCTATTCCCATCTCCCCACTCCCTATTCCCCTCTCCCCACTCCCTATTCCCCTCTCCCCACTCCCTATTCCCCTCTCCCCACTCCCTACTCCCCTCTCCCAACTCCCTACTCCTCTCTCCCTACTCCCGTCTCCCCTCTCCCCTCTCCAATTTCCCCTCTCCCGTCTCCCGTCTCCCGTCTCCCCTCTCCCCTCTCCCCTCTCCGCTCTCCCCGTTCCCCACTCCCCTACCCCTGCTCTCTCCCAACTCCGCACTCCCCCATCCGCCATTCCCTCTCCCCACTCTCCCGTCACCCCTCCCCCCCCTTCCCTGCCAGACACCCGCCCCCCTCTCACGTGGCAGCAGCGGGTCAATGTGGCTCTGGGCGCGGCCACGGGGCTGGTGGGTGCGTTCATGCATTGCATGAAGGCACAGAGCGACAGGTCATTCTTTTGACCTGACCTCATCATGCCCTGTCTCATCTCCCCTCTCCCACCCCTCCCTGCCAGACATTCGCCCCCCTCTCATGTGGCAGCAACGGGTTAACGTGGCTATGGGCGTGGCCACGGGCCTGGCATACCTGCATGAGGGCACAGAGTGGCAGGTAATTCATTCGACCTGTCCTAATCATGCCCCTGTCCCCCCTCCTTCTGCCAGACACCCGCCCCCCTCTCACGTGGCAACAACGGGTCAATGTTGCTCTCGGTTCCGCGAAGGGGTTAGCATACCTGCATGAAGGCACGGAGCGGCAGGTGATATTCAGAGACCTCAAGGCGGCCAATATACTCCTGGATGAGGTGAGATAGGGTAGGGGATGAGTATGTGTGTGTGTTGTGGACTGGGCTGGGTCAAACCATCAATTCGGCCACCATTGTGAATCTCTGCTTCAGACCTGCAGGTGCCTCGGGTTCTTCGAATCCCCACCACCGCACCCCACCATAACCCACCACACTCTACCACAACTCCCTCTCCCCTGACCGGCAGAACTTCAAGGCGAAGCTGTCAGACTTTGGACTGGCCAAGGGCGGACCTGCAGGTTTTTCCCATACTTATACATTAACCCTCACCACACCCCACCCCATCCCACCACATCCCACCGCCCGATTCCTGACAGAACTTCAAGGCGAAGCTGTCAGACTTTGGATTGGCTAAGGATGGGCCGGCAGGGGAGAACACGCACGTGTCGACGATGGTGGTCGGTACCTATGGGTACACCGCTCCTGAATACCTTCAGACTGGTACGATGCGGTGCAGAGCGAAAATGAGTGATGCTGTAACAGTGCAGAGCGGTGTAGATTGTTAAGGGCCAGCAGGAAAGAACACTTATGTATCCACCATGGTTATTGGCACCTATGGCTACACCGCCCCTGAATACGTGCAGACTGGTACGATGCGGTTCAAAGTGGTAAGGAGTGGCGCAGTGTAGTGCAGCAGAGCCACTGTGGCAGTGCTGATTGGTGGAGTGTAATCCAAATTGGTACAAACAGGTAAGGGTTGGCGGAAAAGGAGCATTGAGCTTGTGGGTGCAAGGGAAACATCGCCAATGCCCTTCCCTCCCGCCCTTGCTCCACTCCACCACCACCACCGCTGCCGCCGCCGCCGCCGCCATCGATAAAATACCATTTCTCGCGTTTTCCCTTGCCCCACTGCACCTTCACCAGGCCACCTGACAGCAAAGAGCGATGTGTACGCGTTTAAAGTCGTCCTTCTCAAGTTGCTGTCCGGCCGCAGAGCCGTGGACATAGACCGACCGGGCTACGAGTAGAACCTCGTGTTTTGGGCCAAGCCGTTCCTGGCGGTCAGGAAGAGGATCGGTGAGATTGTGGATCCGTGGCTGGAAGGGAGACAACCATCACCAACTCCCCTCCCTTTTCGCCCTTGCTCCACTGCGCCCCCTTCACTAGGACACCTGACAGCAAAGAGCGACGCCTATGCATTCGGGGTCGTCCTCCTGGAGCTTCTCTCAGGGCGGAGAGCCGTGGACATAGACCGACCGGGCGACGAGAAGAACCTCGTCTTTTGGGCCAAACCATTCCTGGCAGACAGGAAGAGGATCGGTGAGATAGTGGATCCGAGGCTGGAAGGGCGGTTCTCGCACAAGGGAGCTCTCAAGCTCGCGGTTGCTGCGCACTGCTGCCTGCAGGACGCGAAATCTCGGCCGTCGATGGCCGATATGGTGCAGACTTTGACGGCTCTGATGGAGATGGGAGAGGGTGCGAGTGGTGGTAGTGGTCGTGGCGGTGACACGCCCAGAACACCCAGAACACCAAGAACACCCAAAACACCAAAAACACCAAAAACGTTGAAAACAACGAATACACTGAAACCAGTGGGCAGTGCAGGTGGTGATGCTGACACACCTGCTGCATCCCAAACAGCCTCTGGAGCCAGTGGTGATGGTGCCAGTATTGCAAGAGCTGATGCACGTGTGGGTGGTGATGCTGACACACCTGTCGCATCCCGAACAGCCTCTCGCCGAACACCCTCTGCTGTCAGTGGTGATGCTGGCATTAATACAGTTGGTGGGAGTGATGGTGGTTCTTCTGGTGGTGCTGCTGCCGCTGCTGACGGTGGCCAAAGTGCTGCTTCCTATGATGCAAAATCGTTGCATCGTGTACAGGTGGTAGCAAAGGGATGAACTACCAGTACCAGGACTCGTTGAGACTTGAGGGAGATAAGCTGACCAGAGGGAGATAAGCTGACCAGAGGGGTAAGCAAGAAGTTAACCATCCATTGCTAACATAGAGAGCACCATAGTGTACCCTCGTTTGAGATATGGTAGGTATCAAATCAGGCTTCAACCTGAGTGGTGGACAGTCCCAGCAAAACACAACACTGGTAACCATTTTCACTCTTAACAGTATGGCTAAGGTTATTATACCGTGTGCAGAAGAGAGGAATGGAACAGAAACTCCACATTAGTGCCTCAGAAGTATACAAGCAATCCAGACATGCAATATAATGTCCCCAAGAATTTACAAATTCCCCAACCTGAGCCTGACTCTCCTCCCTGTAGGGTCAGTGCCATCTGCATTCGAATCCTCAGCCCACATGGAATCCGCGGGCCTCCTTGTACCAGCTAGGATTTCACTGTTGTTACCCACGCCTGCTACAGCCTGTAGCAGCTCCGCCTGAAGAGACGGGCAGCTGATTCGTAGATGCTCAAAACCTTCTGAATGGATCACACCTGTATAGCGACAGAGAGGGAGGAGACAGGGAAGAGAGTGATGAGTGCTAGAGTAACCAAGAGGAGGGACAATGAAAGGACGGAGGAGGAGTGGGTAAGGGGAAGGGGGGAAGGGGAGGAGAGGGGTGGGAAAGCGGGGGGGGGGGGGGGGGGGGGGGGGGGGGGAGAGGGGAGGGGGGAGACAGGTGGCGCGGAGGGCATAAAAATACAAGATAGAGCAACTGTAGAAATCGCCTAGAATATTGCAGTCCATACTCGCGAGGTTCTGCGCCGCGAATTGAAGGCACACGTTCTTGAGCCGCTTCGCGTTATGCTGCTCTGCCAGAGCCAGCGTCGTCGCGACCGTATCCGCATCCACCGTCTCGCACAGCTTCGACTCGCAGATTAATCGCAGCCGGTCTAAGGCGTAGCGGTCCGCAGCCGCGAGCAAGTGCTGAGCCATGATTGGCGTGAAAGCGGACGGTCCCGAGCTCGGGAGATCGTCGGTGTAGATGAAATGGAGGAGAGCTTTAAACACCGGAGCCTCGATGTCTGTAACGGGGATGTTACCCTCCCGCCTGTCCCGCATGGGTCCGTACAGTAAAGCCTTCAAGACTGGCGAGCGCGCGGCGAGGATGACTCTATGAGCGGACACCGTTTCATCTCCGACGTCGAAAGTTACATCGCATCCCTCGCCCGAGTATAGGAGCACCTCGTAATCCTTCCCCATCTGCGACGGCGGAATTGGTATCGACACCGGCTGCTTCGGACCCTCCGTTTCAGTCACAACGACGCCGACCGTGCACGTGATCTGCAGCGTGTCGTCTTTAAGATAATCCGACGTCTCTAACGTCGCTCGCCGGAAGAACCGCTTGTAGCCCCACATGGATCCTCGGTACTTGAGCGTGTACGGTCCAGATTCAAGCGCGCGGTCGAAGTGCGAATGGACTTTATGGCGACCCCGTCCGCTTTGATCCAGCATCGTCAGCTCGAACAACGCACGGACGTCCGCCCCCTCGCTCGCAAGCGCGATGAAGAGAGAAACGTACTGCGAGTTATCCTCCGCGTTCTTCCCGTCCGGGTAAAAGTAAATAGCCCATTTGAAGCCTCCAACGGTAAACGTGTCGCTGGACATGTATTTGCCGACTCCCATGCCCTTGGCGAGGGAGTAGCCGGTGATGTTGAACTGGTGGCTGCCATTTACCGTCTTGGTGATGCTCCTGGACTTGGTAGGACTGCCTGGCGGATCCTTCGCCGGCATCCTTATTAGCGTGGAGAATAATTCAGTGAAGAGGTGTAAGAAAGAAACAGAACGGAAGACGCTATGACAGCACTTTTGAAGACGAGACGCGGCCTAGTATGAAGCGAGATGCAACGGATTTGGTTTTTTATACGAAATCGAAAATTAAGAAACGGTAGAGAAACCGTCCACCCGCAGCGAATCTCACAACCCCTAACGAGCCTGCCAAGGACAAGACAAAGCCGTAGGTAATAAAGCTAGGCAAGAACTGAGATGGCGACTGCAAGTACTGAAATATCTAAGGTGGAAAGGAAGCTAGGCCTGCAAGCTTAAGTGAGGGTTGCAAGAAAGAAACGAGTGGACGGACAGAAATAAGGAAGTGTATGGAGGTGCTTCGAGATAAGGAGGCCCGTGAAACCCTAGGCACGGAGGGATGCAGCACAATCGCATTCTTGATAAGAAACACCGAAGAGAGGAAAATTGCACGGTCCTGTACGGTGCGATGTTTACTTCATTAGGTGGTGTGCGGTGCATTGGAGTACGCGTTTGTCTGTCCACGGCTGACGCATGCACGGTTTGGGATGGATGCGTGAAGGCGATGGATGTTGCGGCGATGGGATTTGAGTGGCTGTGCAGGCCACCGCACCAGAGAGGTCTGGCACGGATGCAGACTGACAGGCTGAGATGGGGAGGTGGATGGGCTGGGATGGATGAATGCGGAATTATGTAAGAGCGAAGAACGCGGCATCTGTGGACTAACTTTGCTATAATTGGTATGATTGAGCAGCGGAGTGGATATTACAAATATATTAGCACTTGCGTGTATTGCAAATTTCTAATTGCAAGACACACAGTTCCAGAAATGCGTACAAAACAGTATCCCAGCTCAAACATCTCATGCCAACCCATTGTAGCTTGAAGATAATGGCATAGGCAGTACTGGAACCTCACCAGCAGTAGCACAACTCATTGCCTGACCCCACCACCTAGTTCACGAGCTCCTACCCATCAATTACCAGCTCCACTGGTACAGGTTCTGTATCCCATCCACCGTCCTGCACAGGTTCCCTCTCATCCACACAAACACTCACTGCAGCAATAGGCTCAACATAACCAACTGGCACATCCTGTCCACTTGCCAACCCTTCAACAAGAGAAGTGCTCGGATGATCCTCCAGACCTGTATTTCTCAAGCCTGTACTTTCCAGACCTGTATTTCCAGGACCTGTATCTTCCGAAGCTGTATTTTCGGATGCTGAATTATCTGCGCCTGAATTTTCCAGACCTGTATTTTCCAGGCCTGCGCTACCCACTGCTTGCCTCGACTTGCGCTTACGACTGACGTTTGCAGATGGCTGCTCACTTGGATCCTCTGCACAAGGCAACAGAAGCAAAACGAGGGATCCAATAAAACGATTGACCCAGATGACACTGTTGTCTGTGCAAGGTAAACAAATGTGTAAACAAATTGGTAAACAGAATAGAGCAAATAGCCGAAAACGCTGCTGCCATACACAATTAAGGGCACATAGCATGAAATACGCTCACCTCTAGCTGCCAGCTCCTCATAATTATATCCACGCCGAGGGCCCCCCCAGCCGAACTTAGAAGAAGATTCAGTCTTCGACTTGGAGAAATCCAGGCCGTGTACAGCTGCTGGATCAACGGCCATGATCTCAAGAACATTTGGGAGCCGGAAAGTCACAGGCTGGTAACCGTCAGACTCGTCGTCTTCTTGGCTTGCTCCCGTTTTCTTCCTCTTGCTTGGCCTTCCTCTCCTAGGTGCAGCCTTCTGCTGCAGGCCTCGCACGACATTGTAGTATGGGTTGCTGTTGCTGTTACCTAGGACTTGACCTGGCATGATATTAAAGTATGGATTGCTGCTGTTGCTGCTACCTGGTACTTGGCCTGACAGGAAGTTAAAGTATGGATTACTGCTGCTGCTGATGCCTTGTACCTGGTTTGGGAAAGAATGGAGTTGACCTGGGTGGAATACGGTTGACTGGGCTGCTGGTGGGTGGGCCTGGGTTGTGGGGGTGCTGGCGCGTCTAGCCTTTCTGACGAGCTGGGCAAGATTCTCGCGAGCGTTGGAAATTGCCACGTCAGCGTTGTCTCCTGATGTGCGTGGGGGTGGACAGGCAGGGGGTAAGGAGTGAGGGAAAGGATGCAAGACATCTCTACGCACGGATACTTTTATGCAGGCAGCGAGGGAACGATGTGAGGTTATGTTCATCCTAAAAGGGAGCAGAGGTGTGCATAACAAGCTGAGGTGACAATGGTAGCGAGGTGACAATAATGAGGTAAACGGGGTACCTACCACCAACAGCAACAGCGGCGCCAGCAAAGGGTATCTCTACCAAGTGAGGAGCGGCTTTCATGAGGAGGAGGAAGAGGTCGGAGCAGGTGGGAAGCGTTCCTCTCGACGTGAACGATACTACAGACGATAACGCCGAGGGGACAATAACGAGGGGACAATAACGAGGTGACTATAACGAGGTGAAGGTTGTGCCTACCAGCGACAGCGGCGCCAGCGAAGAGTCTCTCGACGAGGCGCGGAGCGGCTTGGATGAGGAGGAGGAAGAGGTTGGAGTAGGTGGGTAGTCGCTCCGCTCCTCCCCGCATGAAGAGCGTGAGTCAAAGTCTTGTGCAAACGACAGAACCGAGGTGACAATATCGAATGCTATTGCTCACCTGCGACAGCGGCGCCAACGAAGAGTCTCTCGACGAGGTGCGGAGCGGCTTCGATAAAGAGGAGAAAGAGGTCGGAGTAAGTGGGTAGCGATCCTTTTGGCATGTACGCCGCGAGTCCACATCGCAGCACGTGCAGCGGGTCGCGAAGGTCCGCGGCGATAGAGATTTTGCGACTGGGTGGAGCGGAGAGCGACTCGCCTACTGATGGCGGCTTGGGATCGGACGCCATGGGCTCGTTGTAGAGCCTCGAGGCGTTCTGATATTACAGTGTCAGGCGATAAGCTTCGATGCTTCGAGAATGGAATATTACAATAACGCGTATCAGTGTTCTCTTGCTCCAGTCGCAGAACTCGGCGTCCTGAACATGAACAACGCACTCACCAGTGACTTGCGATTACTCGCGGGTACTCTGGACTTGTGGGATAACGATGGTAACTTGGTGCAAGAATACTAGAGTTGTTGTAGGGCGTGATTTGTAAACGCTGCCAACTTGCTTTCAGAGTCACTTCGTGTCATTTTTTGCCATGCAATTTTGACACGAAGGGAGGACTGGGAGGGGAAGTTTGGGCTTGGCCTGCTTTCTTGTTCGCTCGCTGCGATTTCGCGACATACACGAAGATGATTGTTACCGAGCTGACCTTGCACCATGTCAAACCACGGCACACAAAGCACCATTTATTTTCGGCTAAAGTGCCGTTACAATTTCCAGACGAGGGCCGTTACAACATGAGGATCAGGGCTGACAATGCTCAATGCTTGGACACAATGACACCAAGGCCGCCATGGATTCTACCAGGAACTTCAACTCGACCAATGTCGATCAATTTCTTGTCAGTTGCTCGTCAAGAGACATTATCTGGAATCTACGTGGCAAGACGCTTACGGTGGTATACTTTTTGTGCCTATCATGTGGGCATGTTACCTACCGCGCGCTTGTCAGGCAATCCCGAGTGTCTTGATTCAACTACAATGTTTCTGACACATGTCGATCATGCAGCTCCTAACAATCTTACAGCACCTCATGAGCATTTTACCTACTGTGTTAATATCTACCGTGAATGGGTTTTCTCCACTGATAATGACAAGCCAGGAGGTTACATCAAGGAGGCTAAACCAGGCTTATGCTATGGATATTGTCGTGGGATATCAAGAAAGAGGACGCGACCCAAGCCTGGTCAGAGGCTTTATAAGACATTGGTGCTCAGTCAATTTTCAATATCAGCAACAGTGCTGTGCTCTGTTTTTCATCATCGCACCATGGGTCGTCCTCCGAAGTAGGCTGCTGCTACTCTGAAGAATGGAGCGGTTGAGCGTTCGCCGCTGGACAAGGGTCACCAGTCGAAGCCTGCTACGCCGAAGCCGATGTTGAAGGATACGGTTGGTCCGTTTGCTGCTGATGACACTAGGGTGTCTCGCTGGAGAAGAAGTTGGCTTCGCTGAGCTTCCGGACCCTGGAGGGCAACGCATCCGGGGAGGCAAGCGCTACAGAGGAAGGAAAAGGAAAAGAGACTGATGCGGACGCATCGGCTGCGGAAGTCCGTGAGGAACCTGCGGAAGAAGAAGATGAAGAGGAGATAGCAGATGATGGGTATTTGAGTGATGACCTGGAGGAGCGTCTGGATCCTGTTCGGGCCGGGGAGATCGCGGCGCTTGCAGGCTACACGCTTATCCTGCTGATTCCGGTGGAGTTTGAGAAGGAAGTCCCGCGTACCATCGACACAATGAAGGAGTTGCTGATCGTGTGGAAGAAGGCATTGTCGTCGCACGCGCAGAAGACAACGAAGATGCATTACCTGTCGAAGAAGCGCTTTGGGAGGCTGCAAGTCACCTTCCGGGAGGCCGCGGATGCGAACTATGTCTGGTGCCGGCGTGTGGAGCACATCTGCGCGGAAGGGAAGACTAAGTTGATCCTGAACTGGCAGCATCCGGAGAATCTGTTGTACATCAAGGAGCGCGCGCAGAACCCGGATGCTGTTGAGGTGCTGCTGAAGGAGGTTCCCACTGAGATCTCACCGGATATGATCTACAAGCTCCTCGTCACGACCCCGCTGGAGAAAAGCGGTCGTCCACCGTATCAGACCGGTGCGGCTTTTCATCGGATGGTGGATCCTATGACGGGAGCGGATATGCATAAGATAAAAGGGTTGGTGAAAGTCCACACAAGGGATAAGCATCGGTGGTGGCATATGCTTTATGGCACGGTTCATCACAAATAGCTGCTTGTCCATTTTCCCTCGCTCAAGTGTGAATTTTGCAACGGCATGCATTTCACGAAGCTGCATGATGACTATGTCACGGAAAGGTAGGAGAACATTGCGAAGTGGAATCTGACTCTGCAGCGAATCCATGACATCAACGGTAAATGGTGGAACACTAACCTTGTTTTTCAGGCTGTTGGGGTCCAGATCTGGAACGTTGACAGCCGCTTCCCATCCCTCGTGAGCAGCTGCTTCGCATCTGCTAAATGCGACGACGAAGAAGATTCTTCGGGATCCGGCGGTGTCCCTGGTCTCCACGGGTGGCAGCAGGGAGGACTGGGTCTGCGTCCAGGAGGCATGCATGAAGGCGAAGGGGTCAAGTTTCTCCTAGGCGCTGTCCCATGTGCGCTCTGACTAGCACTGCACCGCGATCCTGAAAGGGGGGGATGCTACACGTGCAAGCAGGGGGAAGGTGAACCTGACGGTGATTCACAAGGAGTTCGCGCTGTGACGGCGACGGGAGTGTCAGCGCCGGTGTTTGGGCCTCGTGTTTGGTGGTGTGGTCCGGCGTGGTTGATCAGGTGATGTAGCGGTAGTTGTCAGCAGCTTGGATGTGTGGCTCTTGGTTGTACTCAAGCCCGTGGATGCGATGGGGCTCCTGCGCAGTGTATTAATGGGTAACAAATCCAACAGCGTCACTGTGTGTGAGGTCAACGTGAATGGCCTCGGAATTAACAGAAAAAGGAGCAAGAACCTGAAGTGGCTTAAGAAAACGGCAGACATCATGGTGCTGACAGACACAAAAGTAGGGGAAGATCACAACTTTTGGACTCAGTTAAGACCAACGGCAATGGCAAGCTCCAAGCCAGAAGGCAGGTGGAGTTGCTATCCTTTCTTTTACGGACGGTGTGAAGTTCATTGATATCAGTAAACACAGCTCAGGTATATTAATGGGGGTTACGGTGTGCAGTACGCACCTGGATTTCTGGTTGATAGCGGCGTACCTTGTCAGAGGTCCACTGGTGATCCCCGATTGATCCTAGGGAAGGGTTACAGGCTCGTTGTCCTGGGGGGTTATGGGCGCACTGACCCGCTACTTAACAAGCCCTTTTATCCCAATGGTCTAGTGGTTGGGATTCTGACATGGTATCAGAGCGAAGGTCTCGGGTTCGAATCCCAGTGTGTGCACTTCGGGCATCCCAGTGCGGGGGGGTGTCAGAGGTCCACTGGTGATCCCCGATTGATCCTAGGGAAGGGTTACAGGCTCGTTGTCCTGGGGGGTTATGGGCGCACTGACCCGCTACTTAACAAGCCCTTTTATCCCAATGGTCTAGTGGTTGGGATTCTGACATACATGTCGACGCAGGCGGGCACACGGTCCTCTTTCCTCACCAGCTGCCTTACTCCGTTCGTCTGGGAGCAACTGGTGTCGGCGCACCTGGTGTTGATGGGTGACCTCAACTTGGTGGAGGACCCGGAGTTGGACAGATCCTTGCGGGCTGGCTCAAGGACGGAAGATTTGAGGCTCCGGAATTTATGGCCCATGCACGATATGCGGGACGCCTTTCGAGCGTTGCACCCACCTCGGCGGGAGTACACCTTCTACTCCAAAGCATCGCAGACAAGCTCGCAGATTGACCGCTCGCTGGTCTCGCTCTCACTGTTGGGGGAGCTGTCGGAGGCGAAGCACGTCCACGTACCGAAGTCGTTGTCCGATCACTGGTTCTCGGTGGGCTTCTCGGTGGCCTTGTTGCTGGAGAGAGGCCCGAGGATGTGGCGCCTGCAGGCGAAGCAGGTTAACACAAAGGGGGTAAAAGCGGTGACGGAAAAAATATTGCGGAAGCTAGAGGGGGAGCAGGACTGTGGGCTTGACAAGACACTTCGGCTTCTCTCAGCGGGCCTGCGCGCACATACGAGGGAGGAGAAGAAAAGAATTAGAGCGACGGTTGCGCATCTGGAGAAAGAGGTGGAGGATTTAAGGCACGCGGTAATGCAACGCCCAAGAAATAAGAGGTTGCAAGACAGGCTGGTGCTTCAGGAGGCTCACCTGGAGGCTTACCTAGAGAGGGACAAGGAGAGGCTGCAGGTTATGGCGGGGATGAACGTGGAGATGAACGGGGAGGTCCCCTCACCCTACCTGATAGCGAAGGTTAAGATTCGGAAGAGTTGCACGCTGGTGCAAGAGGTCAGACACAATCGAGTGATGTACCGGGGTACGCGCAAAGTGCTGCAAGCGGTAGAGGAACATTTCGGGGCGGCTTTCCGAGGAGTGCAGCCGGAAGAAGAGGTGGAATGGGGAGCCTTTGCACTGGGCCCGCGCTTCTTGGAGGCCGATGCAGCTAAGCTTGGGAGAAGTTGGACTGAGGCGGAGGTGAAGGAAGCGATTGCCTCCCAGCCAAAGGGCAAGTCTCCAGGGCACGATGGGCTTTCGGCAGAGTTCTTCGCGGTGCACTGGGACCTCCTGGGCAGAAGAGTGATGCAAATGGTTAAGGATTTCGAAAGGACGGGTAGAGTCCCGGAGTGCTTGGCCACTGCAGTCACAGTGCTCCTGCATAAGAAGGGGGAGAAGGACCAGCTGGGAAATTATCGGCCAATCACATTACTCAATGGGCTGTACATTATGTGCATATTATACAATAGTAAACCACAACAAAGTAACTCACAAAAACAATATAGTTGTCTAAAAAATCACTACCATCATGTTAGTATAATATGATAGCTATCCTGAACTAGACAGGACCTGCTACAGGTTAAGTAGCTAGCAATTAGTGCATAAAGTTTTTGTATTTTCATATTCTATTTTAAATAAATAAAATGTGAGAATGTGGAAAAAAAACTGGCCAAATCGATCATAATAGGTTGCTTCGCAACCCAAAAAGTTACAATGTCCGGTTTCGCCAAAGAACATCCTGCCCTGCGCGCAATTCCTCACAAGTAATTACTCGTGGAATGTATATTTTCCCTCGGAACGCAGTTGAAGTCAGTTGTTTCTGTTGGCTCTCTTCTGGCTCTCTTCTGAGGTTCTCAGTCACCCAGCCATAAATCCTCGTCGCGCTATCAAGTCATCAAAACGCTCGCTCAAAGCCGCTCATAGAAAACCAGTTCCCGCCGTCGTCTTGCTCGAAATCCGCCGTTCTCAGACTCGATCCACCACACCCATTCGCGGCGCGCGCGACGTGTTTCTTCTTCCATCCTTCGAAGTACTACTCTTTCTTCGAAGTTCTAGTTCCGAATCGTCTGAACGCGCAGTTATTTTCGCGCGCGCGCGCGCGAAATATAATTCTTCCTTCCTTCGAAGTTTTAGTCTTGTTGGTACATTCGTTCCGCACGCAATGACAACAATCCGACGGTTCACGTGCGACGATCTGTTTCGATTCAACAATGTGAACCTCGACTGGTACACGGAGACTGTAAGTGCATTGCACTCACATGCACTGAGGGGAGAGGGATTGTTGAGTAGATTCAAACCTCGACTGGTACACGGAGACTGTGAGTGCGCTCACAGGCACTGAGAAGAGGGATGGAGGAGCATGTTCATTTGTGAGGGAAGAGATGAAGGATCGAGAGGGGAGGAAAGGAGGAGGGATGGGTGGAGGGCGTGAGAGCGAGGTGAAGGGAGAGAGTAAGGGCGCCACCTATTGACGGTTTTTACATTTCTTCTGTACCGTCCCAACTGTCCTCTTAGCTCCTTGCAACATTAAAATAAGCGTGATACCTTTGAAGCATTTTCTTTTTATATTTACCGCATTCACATGCTTCTATGTTGGATTCATATATGTTTTCGCTTTGTGCTTTTGCATTCATCATCAGTCCTTACATGGCCATTTAATACAAGGCGTTTTAATCAGCCTCTGGCTTACCTTGCTTCCAATCTACGGCAGTAAAACCTGATCTTGAAGTTGTATATGTTTTTGTCTGATTCATTTCTTTGCATGGCATTACATTCACGATATGGCAGTACAAATTCAACTTGCTGTTGTCTATTTCATCTCTGTACGATACAGTATTTTCACCATATGGCACTTTAGGTGAACATCAATTTTTGCATACACTGTTTTCTATTTCACTCCTCTACACTTTTCTACACTCACCGTATGGCAGTACAACCTGAACTTCTACCTGGGCTACATGGCGAGCTGGCCAGAGTATTTCGTGGCGGCTCAAGGACCAGGGGGCCGAATCATGGGCTACAGTGAGTGACGTGGCATGGAGTCGTGGCGGGCTGATGTCCTGAGTTTACACAGTACAACAGTACAACAAGGCAAGGGGTGACAGAAGCAACATGTCATCAGCATGTGAAAGACATTGACTGTGGACAAGAGTTATGTCATGGTCATTCCCTGACCGTGTGCCTTGTCACAGCCATGGGTAAGGTACAGGGCGAGGGCGGGCTGTGGCATGGGCATGTCACAGTGCTGACTGACTGTGGAAGTGGCAGCATCTTCATGTTTCTTTGGTCTTCTCCTCTTGACAAAAACAACCCAGTCGTGGGCAAGGTAAGGTGAATGGCGAGGGCGATCTATAGCCCGGACACGCTAGTCGGTGCATTTTCCACAGTGCACCTACGCTCCTGTGCCCTCCAAACACACGCCACCCCAATTCTTCCCCCGCCCTTCACCCTCCCATTCTCTTGCATGCCAGTCGTGGGCAAGGTAAGGTAAAGCACGAGGGCGAGCTATAGCCCGGGCATGCTAGTTGGTGCATTTTCCACAGTGCACCTACGCTCATGTGCCCTCCAAACACACGCCAGCCCCATTCTTCCCCCGCCCTTCACCCTCCCCTTACCTTGCATGGTAGTCATGGCCAAGGTGGAGGGCGAGGGCGGGCTGTGGCACGGGCATGTGACAGCGCTGATAGTCAGTGGCTGCGGAGTATCATCGGTAAAGAAGCAGATGTTTGTACCTTCTTTCCAAGCCCATCCACCCCCCCATTGGTAGTCATGGGCAAGGTGGAGGGCGAGGGCGAGGTGTGGCATGCGCATGTGGTGCACTCTCCTCAGTGCAGTGTTCTCGTGTAATCCCTCTCTATTCCCCTTCCCGTTCCTTGCATGGCAGTCATGGGCAAGGTGGAGAGAGAGGGCGAGCTCTGGCACAGGCACGTGGCGGCACTCACAGTGGCCCCCAAGTATTGACCACAGCACATCTGGTGTTTCCATTCTGCTCCCCCCCCCCACGCTCTTTCCCTTCTCCCTACCCTCTGTGGACAGTCATGGGCAAGGTGGAGGGAGAGGGCGAGCTCTGGCACAGGCACGTGACGGCGCTGACAGTGGCACCCGAGTATTGACCACAGCACATCTGGTGTTTCCATCCTATCCCTCCCTTCCCCCCTTCCCTCCCCTCTATTGGCAGTCATGGGCAAGGTGGAGGGCGATGGCGAACTGTGGCATGGGCACGAGTGACAGTGCTAGCAACAGAGTAGCGCTGACACTTTGCAAACCCCCTGTTCCCACCTCCCCTTCTCCCCCTTCTCTTCCATCTTCTGACAGTCATGGGCAAGGTGGAGGGTGAGGGCGAACTGTGGCATGGGCACGTGACGGCACTGACTGTGGCACCGGAGTATCGGCGGCAACAGCTGGCAGCCAAGCTGATGGACATTCTTGAGGAGATCACCCACAAGACGTGAGTGCTGCTTCTGAGCATTCACAAGAGCCAACAGTTGCGTGCAGCGAGAGTATCGGCGGCAGCAGCTGGCAGGCAAGCTGATGGACATTCTTGAGGAGATCACCCACAAGACGTGAGTTGTGCTGCTGGGAGAGGAACATTCCCAGAAGCCGAAAGGTGCGTGCAGCGAGACTGCGAGAGAGAGTGCAGCAGGCAAGCTGATGGACATTCTTGAAGAGATCAGAGAGATCTTGATGCACAAGACGTGGGTGGCGCCACAGAGAGACGTGGGACTGAACGGCATTCTGAGACGTGGGACTGAACGGCATTCTGAAGACGTGCAACTGTTTTCCCTTGAAAGAGTGCATGCCACGCAGCTTAACAGTTCCATGCAGGGAGAGTGAGTGCAGCTGGCAGGCAAGCTGATGGACATTTTCTATGAGATCAACCTCAAGACACGAGTGCTTTCCGCTCCAATCCCCATTGCGACTCTGATAGCGTGCACGCAAAGAGAGGGCGCGCTGATGTGCACCACCTCGCAGCTTTCTCACCACTGTTTCCCCCTGTTACCTACTTTCCTTGCATTTCAGTTACGACGGGTACTTTGTAGATCTCTTTGTCCTCTTCTTTTCCCTGCTTCTCACTCTTGTTTCCCCTGCAATGCATTTCAGTTATGATGGGTACTTCGTAGATCTCTTCGTCCGGACGTCCAATAAGGCTGCTATCCAAATGTACCGTAAAGTAAGTACCAACCATACTTACCTTGGTATTAATCGTCCAAACATACTTACCTGGTTATTATACATCCAACCATACTTACCCGGTAATTCATCCAACCATACTTACCTGGTTATTATTCGTCCAACCATCTGTAACTGGTTCCAAGTCCGACAGTCATTCTTTCTGGTACAACATTCATTTATGCCTCTCATATACTGGTTCTCTTGTCTCTGCTGATTCTTATGTCCGCTTGATATTTTTTTCTTGCCTCATTGGTTTCCTTCCTCTCCTGGCTCTCTTTCAGTTTGGGTACGAGGTGTATCGTCGCGTGCTCATGTATTATTCCGGGGAGGAAGATGCCTTTGGTGAGTTCCCATGCCATGGCTGACATGATTTGGGATGGGATAGTCAGCAGCATGGCATCACATGACATGGTGACATTGCATTGCATGGCATGGCTTTCTTTTGGCGCGTAGCAATGCATTGAATCACATGACTTACTTGTCCATATGCAAAAGGCATATGTGTTTGCTTGTCCAAATGGGCCTCGTGATCTCTTCAATCCCATATGTCAATTCTGCTCCCCACCCCCTCCCTACCCTCTGCATCCTCTCCTTCCCCCCCCCATTCCTTATGGTACCGTACCATCTTGGTTATAGATATGCGTAAATCTATGCCAAGAGACAAGGAAAAGAAGTCGATGGTTCCACTTGACAGACCTGTCTCTCCGCAGGAGCTTTTGTTTGATTAGTGTTACGATACGAATATTAATTGCGTCTCATGAGTTTGATTTATAAGATGCAATTGCTCTGCACTTCGCTTAGCGAGTAAGGTTCCGTTTTCGCGTATACACGGTCACTCTTAGGCGGTGCTAGAATGAAATGACCAACAACCACTTCGCAAGTCTCGTACGTTGCCCAAATCGCAGCCACGGCAACATTGCTGCAGAGTTTTATGAGAGTCACAAAGATCTCGCAAGTCAAACCTCGCAGGTTGCTGCACCAAATTTCTTTCTGACCTCACTCCCCTTCCCCTCACCTCACCCTCGCCGTTGCCTACTCAAGTCGGACCCTTCTTTATTTCCGTTATCTAGCGCGCTTTCTACTCTCGAACTTCGCACCTGCCATAGCGCTAAGCTACCACACGTGTCGTTCACGATTGGGTCCGAAACGCGTAATTCTGGCTATGGCGGCTCGAGCAGATAATGAGCTGCGTCCAGCTCTAGGCTTGAAAACGAAGGCCTATAAATTAGGCGTTCAAGATGCCTTTCGCCATCAGCCCTTTCACAACATCGTTTTCCTCGCCGTTTCCATAGCTGCACCATCTGCGGGGTTAGTCTCATTCGTGTGGCGCTGACTGCGACGATCTCGAGAATGGCAATAAACTCCTGGCTCCCCGTAGCGCGCAAGCTGCTGCCTCTCTCCCTCCTCGTGCTCCTCGCCGTCACCAACGCCAACGCAGCACGGCCCGGAAATACGTTCGGCTCTAGCTCGGCCTTGGGATCTCCGCACAGGGTCGAGCGGAAGCTGTTCAGCTGGGACGGGGTGACAGTGGATCAAATCATCGCAGGGAGCCTGGGCACAATCGACGGTGTGGATGACGACGGCGAAGTGACGACGAAGGTGGTGGATATCTTCATGAATGCGGGTTACAACGTGATGGTGATCAAGAGCACTCGCGTGGTGGAGGGTGATCCGTCTTATGCTGAGGTCCGCGTGGCACATTTCTGGGGTGACTCGGTTTTTGCGGTGTATTACAAGCAGGGTGCGTTCAACGTAGTGAACACAGGCGATGGCGGGTTTCAGAATTGGGCCTTTGGAGGGGTTTGGGATAGGTATGGTGCAAACAATGAGGTTGTGGTGTTCCGTTGATAGTGCATTTAGAACTACTTGTTGGCGTTGTACCACGAGAGACATGGTTCTGTTGTATGATCTCCGGCGCTTTAGTTGCTGGTTGCCTTGCCTTGCTTTCCAGAATTCAGAGACAGCTTCATAGCGAACTGTTTCAAGGAGCGAAGGATATGTCGTCAGGTTCTATGAAAAACACTCTTGTGATTTGAGGGAAACAAAAGCTTTGGCAATAGCGGGTTATTCTATCTTGTGACTTTGTTTTCTTAGGGCGCGTAACTTGGCTGGTATTCGATCGAACGATGAAGACAGTCCGGACATTTGCTGGTTACTAGATTCGAGAAAATTCGTCTAGCGATTCGAGAAACTTCGTCGCACACGTACGGACTCCTGGATTGCTGGTGGAACTTGCTACCACTCAACTGGCTACAAACGGTGTTGCAATACGAACCACTGCACAGTTATCTGAGTTAATTGGCGAACAAAAGTTGTGCTGCGACGGCGGGAAAACAAGTTCTGGCGTTTGTGTTTAATTTCTCCAAGCTCTGTTTCCGCTGTGTGCCAGAGCCACTATTCCTTGCGCGAACTGGCGAAAAATGATCGTGCTGCGTTACATCAGAACACTTTTTTGAATAACGTAAAAGTACCACATTACAGCCAGGACGAGGTATGGGCCGTACTCTCGTGCCAAATTTCCTCTATACGGCACACGTACCGTTTGAATCACACCGTCCGTCCTTTAGGTTTGTTACGCGCCCTTATAGTTAGTGGGGGGTGGTTGACTTGTAAAACAGAGTAGCTGTGACTACTGGAGGGCTGGAAACTTGGCTGGAAAGTCTTAGCAGGGCTGCTGGAATTGACTGGATGAGGTAAAACTTCACTATGTTCAAGATTAACAAGCCCACTAAAGCACAACTCTAGGCATCACAAACAAGACAGATTGAAAGCTCAAACTAGGCTGATAGACAATGTAACTTCCCTGGTAACTTGGGCACAATCTAGATTGGATGGACCTTGAGTGACTTTGAGTGCCACATGAGGTGCATGAATAAGAAAACTCTGGATATTTCTGTTATAGCTGATTCTGATGTGTAGAAACCTGTAGAAACTGCCAACACTTCGGTTTGAAGGCAGCTTTGAACTATATCGAGTCTTCGGCTGAAATCTGATTGGTGGTGGAACTTTCGAAGTACTTCCCGAAGCTCTGATTCATCGCCGACATTCCCCCTTGCTGCTGCTTGTGTGCAAAGGGCTGGGGCGGCAGAAACTCGATTCTCCAACACTCCCCCTCGCACCAGACCCGAAGCACACATACACCCATGCTGATGCTCCTTTCACATCTCCTTAGCATACACTTCATGCTGCTGCCCACGTCTCTTCCCCTCACACTCCTCATTCTCCTCAAACTGCTCCACTGCTTCATGAAGTGTCATGAGGCCTGCTCTTGCCTTGCACATGTTGAATGCATCATGTGGAAGAACCTTGGTCATGAAATCTGCTGCTTGATCGAATGAACGGCAAAAGTTGACGGCGAGAACTCCCTTCTCTAGTTGCTCACGAATGAAGTGGTACTGCACCTCGATGTGTTTTGTACGCCCATGATGAACCGGGTTCTTGGAAAGAGCTACGGCTGAAGTGTTGTCCACGTAGAGCGGAGTTGGTTGAGTTTGCGGCTGCCTCAATTCCTCCAAGAGTCCACGTAACCAGATTGCCTCCCTTGCTCCTTCGGTCATTGCCATGTACTCAGCTTCGGTTGTTGAAAGTGCCACACAACTTTGCTTGCGCGATTGCCAAGAAACAGCGGCACCACACATGAGGAAGATGTAGCCGCCGGTAGACTTGCGCGTGCTCAATTCTCCCGCCCAATCTGCATCGGTAAAGCCTTGGAGGGAGCTTGCATATGGGCTGGCTTGGAAGAGAAGACCATGATTAGAAGTACCTTTGAGATACCGAAGAGCTCGCTTGGCTGCATGCATATGAATAGGTGAAGGGGCACTCATGTGTTGAGCTAGCTTAGATACCGTGAATGCTAAGTCGGGCCTTGTGCATAGGGCTGCATACATGAGACACCCAACCTGACTTTGGTACAGAGCTAGGTCTTGTGGGGATACCTTAAGTGAATTCTCACCATGATGCTCACTCTCCTCAAGACACAACTCTTTAATACCTATGATATCAAGGCTTGACTCTCTCTCTTCATAGGGCTGATGTGAAGACAAAGGGACAAATTTGGAAGGAAGTGGGGTAGGTGATGGCTTGCTATCATCAAGACCAAACCTCTCAAGGACCTTTTGGATGTACTTTTGCTGGAATAGGAAGATGGACCGTGACTTACGATCTCTCACAATGTTCATACCAAGATAATGACTCGGCTCACCAAGATCGGTCATCGTGAATGCACTCGTGAGAATACCTTTCACCTTGTTGAGAAGGGGAGGGAGGGAGGGAGGGAGGGAGGGAGGGAGGGAGGGAGGGAGGGAGGGAGGGAGGGAGGGAGAGGGAGGGAGGGAGGGAGGGAGGGAGGGAGGGAGGGAGGGAGGGAGGGAGGGAAGGAGGGAGGGAGGGAGGGAGGGAGGGAGGGAGGGAGGGAGGGAGGGAGGGAGGGAGGGAAGGAGGGAGGGAGGGAGGGAGAGAGAGAGAGAGAAATATATATATATATATATATATATATGGGACTAGCCACAACAGGGAACCTGAGACTAGGAGGAGGTCATCGACATATACCAAGAGCCAAATGTACTCCCCCTCACTCGTGTGCATGAAGTACAGAGCGTTGTCTCTCATGGACCTTGTGAAACCATGCTTGAAAAGTACCTGCTCAAGAGCATGATACCAAACCCGTGGGGACTGTTTGAGACCATAAAGGGACTTTACCAAGCGACACACTCGACCCGTACCGTCATCATAACCTTCGGGTTGTGCCATGTATACCTCTTCTTCCAAGACACCATAGAGAAATGCGTTCTTGACATCCATTTGATGGATATGGAGACCAAGATATGCGGCTATGGCGAGGAGGACTCGTACCGTGGTGTACTTTGCTACCACGGCAAAGGTTTCGGTGAAGTCAAGACCTGGAATTTGGGAATAACCTTTTGCCACTAACCTTGCCTTGTACCTATCGAGGCTACCATCACCTTTTACCTTGATCTTGTACACCCATTTGACACCAATTACCTTCTTCCCTGGAGGTGGCTCAACAAGACGCCATGTACCTCGCTTCATGAGACTCTCAATCTCCTCTTCCTCGGCTTTCAACCAATGCTCTCTTTCGGGACTTGCCATTGCCTCACGACGACTCAAGGGCTCTCGCGGAAGGTGTGATGCTGCCATGCATATTGCCTCTACCTTCTTGTGAATGCAATTCTCACTCTCCTCACATGTGCACCTTGATGACATGTCAACCATGAAATTGAAGGGCTTTTTTACCTTGCGGACTCGTTTACCTTTACCAAACTCCTCAGTTGGCTGAGACACATTAGTGGTAGGGTTCGGTCTCACAGTGTTTGATTGCGTTGATGCGGTCATTTGCGGCTGAGACAACGGCTGCGACATCGGCTGCGACGGCGGCACGGCTGCTTGTTCTTCTCCTGGCGTGGAAATATCTTGATTATCGGTGTTGACTTGAGGATTAGGTATGGTGACTCGTGGCGGTGAAGCTGAAACGTTTGTCGGCATAGTTGGTTGTGAAGATGCTCTTGGTGGGGATCTTGAGACTAGAAGCTTGGGAATTGATGATGACGCTGCCTTGTCGAGAGGTGGTGATGGTTGGGGCTGGTTGGTGTTGTTGCTCGGTGTTGAAGATGGTGGTAACTGATGACGACCGAATCCGGGACGTGGGGGTGAAGTTGAGAAAGGTCTTGGGTGAAGAAGTGGACTGTTGGAGCTGGTGTTGGTGGTGACT